CTACGGTGCTGCTTGCCTGGAGCAGGGCACCAACCGGCTTCCTTCCAACAGCTTACAGCACACGAGTTGCACATACAATGTGAGTGTCGAACAAACACTTCCAGAAAAAAAGCCAGTATTATTTGTTCGCTCACTACTTCATCAGTGGCTTAGTTGAAAAAAAAACTTTTTTTTGCGGGAATGAGGATATTTTTGCTGAAATCCATTATCGGACAGCATAGGTCATGTTCTTTTAGGGACTATTTAAAAAATTTGCTGGAGATTCGGAGCAGACCTGAAATCCCAGGTATGCAAATATCGCAGAAGCATCAAACTAGATGTATTTGTTTGCAAAACTTGAGTTTTACGGCTTTTTAATCAATCCTCGTCAGTTTGTGAAAGACAAAAATCCGTTTTCTACTTCACGATTCAAGCTAGCAGAATAGTAAAAATCCTACATCATTGCGGCAACGCAAGAAAGTAAAATTCGATGGGCAGGGCATGTTGCTTGTCTTATCCAGAGCTGGTGGAAGTGGTGTATTAGTGAATGATATTCGCGACGAAATAAACGACTACCTGGGAGGCCCCAGAAAAGATGGCGTACATACGTCAAGCACGCGATTTTACCAGATGGACGAATGCAGTTCAGGATCAAAGAATTTAGCATAACTACGTTTGGATGAGCGTCTCAGTAACAATCAACAAAGTGGCATACCCAGACAGATACTCGGGCGGTCTTCGTATTTTTGGTAGAGAAAAGTATGGAACTCTAAAGAAAATTAATTCTAAGGCAGCGAATCGAGCGGTGTCTGACAAGTTCTTTGCTAATGCATTTTAACCTTGATTTTAAAACACAGATTTTTGGGCAGCCGTAAATCATCAAAATTTCAAATTCGTAATTTGCTCCCTTTTGAAGCTACGGAAAGAAAAAAGTGATTTTGGCAAAAAATTGGAAAGATTGTGACATTCAGTAATGCCATGTCTGTTCAAATTATGATCGAATTGGAATCTAAGGTTACTGGTAGTCTCAAAAAAAAAATTCTTTCAAAGTTGATAAAAAGTTCAAAATTTCGGTTTCATTCTCGAAATAACATTAACGGCATAAATTTCAGCCAGATATTAAAATTAAATTTTATGTAGACATCTAAAAGGTGAATTGATGTTTTGGACAGTCAAAGACTATGATCTTAAAAATCGACTTTCAAAGTTTTGTAATTTCGGATTAAGTGATTTAATCATGTAACAACTGATTTAATTCGGATCATACGGACAGAAATTTGAAATTGAATTTAATTGGATTTCATACAAAAGTCAAATTCACTTGCACATTATTCCCTCTTTATCTGTCTACGCAAAAGAGCATAAAAAAAGCAAATTTCTATCTTGCCACAATGATGTGTCTTTTTCCTGAAACACTGAGCAACAAAAAATTCAAAGAAATGCTTCATACCAGGATTATGTGGTGTTTGGCTTTTGCAGGTTCATGGATGGCGGCGCCTGCATGGAGCGAGATCGGATGATAGCCGACCGGGGGGTATGGGCAACAGCCACCCAGTATTATCAGCGATGATTCTGTTCCTCATCGTTGTAACAAATTCCTTTGCTTCTGTTTCCGATTCTTGCAATCAGTTGCGCAGCTCCACTGATTCACTGACGTCCGGTCTGGTGATTCGAGAATTTTCAAAATCATCACCATCAGCATCATCGCCATCATAAAAAAAATGCCATCATTTGTATCAGCACCATTATTAGCGTTAACAACATTTGCATGCTTCAGCACGTCAATTTGCTCAGATAAATACTGAAACGCTGTCAAATTATCTTTCTCATTCAGTTTCTTTCATAAACTGAGGCAAAATTTTTGTCCTGCGCTTGTCACCAAAGCACTTTTTTGAGGAGAGTTACTTTCTGCTGCTTTACGGCTAGGAGTTTGCAGTATATTAAACATAATTTTTATACGTTTTTGCATACATGCAAATTGCAAAAATGCATATTGGGAAGAGGTTGTTTGTGTGTGTGTGTGTGTGTCTGTGTGCTCGCACTTTTTGTCACCCACTTTCAACTCGATAACCAGAAAAGCTAGAAGGCTGAAACTTTGGAAGTGTGTGCCTATGCCAAGTGTGACCTTTCCACTTTAATTTCATCCCCGGCGGACGCCTGGATGCCACTTACGGACGCTTAAAAAATACGCAAGTTTTTTGACAAGGAAGAGTTTTCGGGAACCGCACAAGCTAAGGGACTGAAACTTTGTAGGGATATTCATTGTTTATGTGCTGGCTAAAAATTTCAAATTCAGCCCCCAGATACACGTAGAACTCAGTTAAGGACATGTGAAACTTTTAGCGGGAAAATTGCTAACTTGGGAACCAGAAAAGCTGGAAGGCTGAAATTTTGGGAGAATGTTCCCTGTCAAAGTACAAATTAAGTATTTCAAATTTAGCCTTGTGATATATGTGGTTGTTATGCATGGGCACTTAAAAGTTTTGGCGGAAAAATTTCTCACTGAACAACCAAGTTGCTTTTAAAGGAAGGCTGTTGAATGGAAATTGCACATTTACTATATGCAAAATTTATGGTGATTTAT